CTAGTGGATTCAGCCTTGGAAGAGGAGATTCTCAAAGCAGTGCCAAAGGGCAAATTTTAAAGTAGCTTTAAATAAGACCTCCTAAGGCTCAGGAGCTTAAAGAACTTGAATAGCCCAGTTTCTTTTTTTCCTTTTTTTTTTTTTTTTTTTTTTTTTTTTTTTGTTAAAGGAGAGGTTGATTGCCAGGCAGGTTTTCCCAAGAATCCATAAGCTCAACTAATCATGAGCACTTCAGCCCTGTGAAATAATATTTCCCTTACACGGGCTACTATAAAAACAAGTTCTGCACAGTAGGCAAATTTAAAATAACTTTTAATTAACATTTAAGACACAGAAGTCTGATCATGCAAATTCATCTGCGTCTCCTCTCTGTGCCTGATTGTTCCTGATTGAATAAGATAAAAATAGACTTTGTATGAGTCAAGTGTAGGCATGGATTTCTTTAACTTCTCCTCCCCTCTGATTATGCATTTCCTTAGATAAAGTGGAAACCCTTGGATGGCTATTAATGGTATCACGGGTCAGACTGGAAAGGGCATCCTGCTTGATAGGAGTTAAAGATTTCACTGGAATTAAAGGTGTTCCTTCTGTGAGCAAAAAAGGTGCCTCCACCTTGCATAAAATCTCACCTGAGACTATCCAGCATTGTTCTGTCTCAGCTGACTTTGAATCTCCGAATACTGACACTAATTTCATTGCACCTCCCCTGTATCTGCGGTGAGCATCTGGCCAGAGGCTCAGCTACGGATCTATAGTAATACGGAAAAAATGCCACTCGCCTGCACACAAGAGATAAATATTTGAAGGGAGGCAGAGGAATTTCCACATAATTAAGACATGTCAGAGGACATGACCCTGTTATGAGTAACAGGGGCTCTGGATAACGGAGGGCACGCTGATACCGGTACCTTTATCTTGTAACAGTTATGGAGCCAGTTTCCCAGTAAAACTTACTACAAAGCCTTTGTAACACAGTCCAGTTAAAATTTTGCTATTTTGCACCAGCTGATGCAAAACCCACCAAAAATGCCACAAGAATGAACTAGCACAGCTAATCATGCCCTAAGGACCATGGAAAACTTGGGCACAGGGGATTAAACTACCCTTTTCTAAGGCATCTGATCCAGAGCCTGCAGGCACGAGCTGGGTGGGCACGCTGCGGAGGCGGCGTTACCTCTGCTCGCCCAGAACGCGTACCCTGCTCTTTGGCAGAGGCAAGAATTCCATTTATTTTTGCAAGCACCAATGTCACATGAAGAACACTACAAAGATTGGGCTGAAGTCCCTTAGCTAGCCAGAAGAGCTCTCCCTGGGTCACGGTCCCGCACTAAATCATTAAAATTGCTCAGAAGAGCTGCCTATGATGTTTACGGTGTTTCACAGGATGCTCCACTCTTCTGGCGCAGATCTGATTGCTTCCCACGCTGGGGCAGTCCCTCATGAGACGTTTCCTCACTGTTAGCTGCTCTCTGATGCTTCTCAGCACAGCCAGATAGCATCGCAGATCAAGAAAACATTCACCACCACAAAAAAAACAGAGCTGGGAAAACTAGAGGAGGTCACCTCGTCCTCGCTGTGCCCCAGCACCTCGCAGTTTGATGCACGTAGTCTTGGTCGTGACTACCAGGACTGGTCACGACTCTTGCTGATGGGAGACTGGACTTAGAGTTAACAGCAGACTTTAGTTTAAAATTGTTTTATCTAGAGACTGATTTTTCCCCTCCATACAATTTCAGAATCCTTTGTATGAGAAAGTGGGGCTGCTTCTTCCCCTGCAAGATCTTCGCCAGCCTTTCAGGTGACAGCCTAAAGGGTACGAAAACCACATTGATCCACTTCCACGTAAGCAAGCTATCATTTTGGAGTTTTATCAGAGTATCTTCAACCTGTACATTTAGGGGTCTGTGTGATTTTATTGCTCTTTTTCCACTTCTCATCTAGCACTACATTTTGATCACAGCCCATCTGTTATCTTTGATGTCCATTAACCCCCACACCTCCACAGGCCACCACTCCTGTGGACGTGTGATTTTGGCTCTTGTACGCCCGTGTCTGAACTTCCACACGGTCCGCGCACGCAGCCTCTCCACCCCGCTGCGTGTGTGCCCGACTACGGACGTGATCTGACTTTCTTGACCATCGCAGCGGCTGTTTCCTTCTCTCCCGTCCCGTTGTTAAGTTTTACA